CTGTTTTGGTTTTGCTTAGGGCTTCGCTCCTTTAGGGTGTCTTGGGTTTCACTTAGGGCTTCACTTCTTTAGGGTCTCTGGTTGGTTTGGCATAGGGCTTTGCTGTTTTAGGATGTCTTTGGTTGTGACTTAGGGCTTCACTTCTTTAGGGTCTCTTTTGGTTTGCCTTATGGCTTCACTTCTTTTAGGATGTCTTTGCGTTTGACTCAGGGCTTCACTTCTTTAGGGTCTGGTTAGGAGCCTTTCCCTCTGGCCAAAACATAGCCGCAGAAGGCCTGATCACCACCTTAGCCTTTGGAGGCGCAGCAATCGATGTTGGCGCCGAACCTGATGGAGTCGGAGTCGAATCCGGTGCAATCCTCCTGGCTGGGATCGGAGGCGGCGGCGGAACACGAATCGGGTCAGCTGGAGGAGGCGGAGGTGGTGGCCAATACGGCTCAGCTGCCGGAGGCACTGGCGGTGCACCGGTCGGCTCAGAAGGTCTGGACCACGGATGAACAACTTCTGCAGTCTGTGATGCCGCTAAAGCTCTCCGACTTTCCAAACCACCAAGACCCCTCCACTCAACACTTGCTCGACCTTGTTGGAACCAGGCTGACCGAGGAACAAGCCTGACCACTTCAGCCGTCACCACATTGAAGGGCCTGGCCTTTGGCAAAGCCACCGCAGGCCCAGCACCCTCCGATGCACCATCCTCGTCAGAACCAGAACTCTCGTTGTCCCAAATGCGAGGAGTGTAGAGCGGCCTTGATTGTCCACCTGTATGAATGATAGGCACTTCTTCAATCGGAATACCAGTCTGCTCTGATACGTTCCGTGCGTAGGCCGTGCGACGACGTTTCGCAGCGGCCCCGGACCTGATTCCTCGATGAGGACGAGGAGGATCAGATTGTATGCACCGAGGCGGATGGAAGTGAATGAATGCTCTTCCCCCAAAAGCCAAGAACAACAAGCAAACAAGCCGATACGGCTGATAACCACTTGAAGTGGAAACCAACCCAACAACAACCAAGCAGTCAACACAAGTTGAGTGCGCCGTGACCGCGACAGGGCAGCGGCTGCGGGCGCTCCTTTTTCACTTGAGCCAAATGAACATCATACGTCATCAACCATGTCCATATAGGAGGATTGGCTTGGCTTAGGGCCTTGCTTCTTTAGGATGTCTTTGGGTTGGACTTAGGCCTTCACCACTCCCCAAAAAGACACTTCCCAGAAACCACTCCCCAGAAACCACTTCCCAGAAGCCACTTCCCAGAAACCGGTTCCCAGAAACCACTTCCCAGAAACCACTTCTGAGAAACCACTTCCCAAAAACCACTCCCCAGAAACCACT